ACTGCCTGCACAAGTGGCCAGCACGTACCACGAGGGCTGCCCCCGGTATGCTGCCCTACGTCGGTTGTACCTCCGTGGGGAGATAATCTGCTATCATTACCGACGTCTTGTACGATTGAAGTGACTTTAGCAACCGCACGACGTACAACTGCTGCGATGAATTGCGGTGTCTTTTGATGTCCAAGATCATTACAGGATGCACTCCGCTTTGAACCTTTCTCCTGTTGAGCTTTTCGCAATTTTGTATCAAACACCTTTCCGAACTCCTCCTCCAACACCGAATCCAAATCGGCACAATGTAACGTTTTATAGGTCTTAGGAACGGCACTATGTACGCATTTCCCCGTCGGCACAAAATGTAGGATTCGTTCCCATCCGTCCACAAAGATAACTTCCAGCTTGACCACCGCAGCACTGACCTTGGTTCGCTGTAGAGCGCAGCCGTACATCGGTAACCACGGATAATACCAAACATCTCCTCTTTTGTGGATGTCATCAACTGAAGAGTCCAGACGTCGGCCAACCTCCCGCAGCACATCAACTTCGTGATCAGCGAATTCGGACGCTAGAACTACGCGATCGTCAATTAAAGGATTCGCTTGAGCACAACAGTGACCAGGCACCGTCACAGGCCTCACCGTTGCTACAAAATCTGCAAACTGTTTAATTAAAACGTGGCAAAGAGCTTCATCCTGAATGTCACTGGGAGCGCGGTGCTTGAAGCGGAATATCGCATTAAGCTGCTCACCGCTTTGTGTCTTAGGCCGTTTAGGCTCCGGAAACCAGCTCGAATCGTTTAAATCTTGCATTCGCTTCATTTCGTAGCAAAGCGGAGAATGCGCTCCAATAGTTTTCGATTTGGTCACAAATTGTCAAGAAAGACGGATTGACCACGATCGCACCGTTGCTGGTAGTTTTCTCAAAAGGAATCCGCTTTGATGGACCGACAATGACGCGAGGCAAATTCGGGTTGAGTTCTCAGAACGAAGTCGACATATTTATCCTGGTAGTGATACGAGTAGTAGTACGTGCAGACGACTGGTAGTGCTGTTGAATTTTACCAGAATAGCTACTGTACCACACTAAACTTTAGCACATCTAGATTGTTATATCTGTTATTAGATATACGATTGAGCGAGGTTATATATCACCGATATGTCCATTTCTCAGCGAGTTCCTTAGCTACGGCGACCACCGCCCGAGGGCACTATACTTCGTCGCCGCGGCGGTAAGTGAGGTGCTGCGGTTACCTCCGCTCTATCTACACTCTTCTGCACGTCTACTTATCGTCCACTTGTTTTCTTATCTCCCCTCTGCTCAGTAGTTATACCATCAATTAAATACTCATTCTAACACCCCCACTAAGTGTTCAGAAGGCCTTTTACTCCAATTTTGTCTCTTAGTATTGTCGACTGCTTTGTAGGAAGAGCCTTCGTAAGGATGTCTGCTGCCATACTTGTAGCTGGGCAATATTCAACAACCAAACGTCCTTCTTCTACTAAATCCCTTGTAAATAGGAGCTTAATTTGAATGTGCTTGCTAGCTTTTTGATTTCCTGAATTCTTATAGCTGACCAGCTATCACACCATACTTCTACAAGTTTTGTTTGATGAAAACCCATTTCCAAAAGCAAGTACCAAAACCACTCACTTTTCTTTTGCACCTTCACTCAGCGCGATAAGTTCTGCTTCAGCAGTGAAAAGGGAAACGCATCCTTGTTTGCTACTGCACCAAGAAATACTGCAGCCAGCCATTTTAATCACAAACCCTGTGATTAACCCTTTCGTTAACGCCATACACTTCTATATGAAGGGACACCATACAATTTTTAAGTATAAAGCCCTTAAAGGATACTTTAAGTAGCTTTCTACGGCACAAAATGCCAGAGGTTTATGTCCATATTCTATGTAATTCTAGAGGTTATATACAAAAACGGGACAGAAGAGTACCTCAGGTATTCTTTTGCAACACCATTTTTTCTAGTCAGCAATTGGCTGGTAGCTCACTCAACTGCAATTTTCCGGTTTGTCACTTGCAGAATATTGTCAGTAAGTGAAGTACCGTGGGCTACACCAGGCCTCGGACAATACAATACGAAATTGTACTGCAAGACATCGAGTCCCATAATAATACGGGAATATGATGAAGTACAATAATAATAACGGGGCCAATATAAGTATATTGTGGCCTCTAACTACCAAGTCTTCCTACTCATTGGCGACGAGCGAAGTCGCGTTCCACATGTCGCGGTTCACGCGAAGAAATGCTAACATCTCAAAGTTTGCAGAAAGCATGCATGACCGCTGAGGCGTCAGAATGAGCTTGCACTGCGAAAACAGTATTTCAACTGTGTTTGAGGTGGGCGGCACAACCTTTGCCAGCTCATGAAAGCTCACACCCGCAGCACCAGCCGCTCGCATCTGCTTCCCCCCTCGTAGAATTGCGCTGGCGTAATCGCTCGTCGAGCGCTCCTTCCTCTTACCAGTTGCAGCATCTGGCTCCACCACCAATCGCTGGACTGCGCGCGACTCAGACGCAGTGAGCTTCGCATTGTTGCAAATCTTGACCAAAGCTGCCTCAAAGGCCGGCGCATGGACGATCTTCGCCGCCGGACGCAGATGGCTCGCCATAACTGGTTAGTCGTCAACAACCTGGTCAAACAAAACACGCACGTCCGCCATGCTGGTGTCCTCGCGCTGGAGTGTCTTGCAGACACTATCGAGTTTCTTGAGGTGCTCTAGCAGGCCGAGAAGCTTCTTGTGGGCCGCACCTTTTGGGATGAACTCGTCAACAGCATCAACCTGCCGAATAGAATCTCGAATTTTCTTATAGCGGTCCACCATTGCGAATGTCGAAGACCAACGGGTAACATTCCGTTTGACAGGTTTCAGGTCCGTGAATTTTGATAGTTCCGCAGCATTGTTCACGTGTCGTAGCTGCACCATCAGACTGTTAACTGCAGCGAGCTCCGGCTCATAAGCAGCTAAGTAGCGATTCACCGCAAGTTTGTACCGGTGACTTGCACAGCCAACCAGTGCAACTCCAACAACGTAGCGATCCGCTGATTGGTCGCGCAATTGTCGGCTACCAGAAAAGCCACCATAGAGATGTCCTTGTTATACAGCGCCAGCACGCGCTTGAACATCTCGATGTGCACTTCAGCATCTTGGCTGCCGTCCTCCAGCGGTGACAGCGACAGCAGTCGCTCACGGCGCTTGCCGTCTGCGTAGCAAACACCGTACATACCGACGTAGTGCGTGGTACCGTGCGTCCATCTATCCCACATGACACCAAACAGCTTGCCCAACTCGCTTTCGATCAGCACACCAACGCTCTCGGAGCACTTCTTCATGTCTTCCTTCAACCTCTTGGACGAAACGGGCTTCCAGGACGACATGGACCTTGTGAGGTGGTTGTCGACCTCGGAGACGGGCATGTGCCTCTCTACGACCCACTGAAGCCACTGATAGCGATGCTGAGTCGCCTCGGACACGAACCCAAAGTTGGACAGAGGGGCGTCCGTAGCCGCAGATGCGCTGTAGGTCTCGTTGAAGTCGGGGTGCGTCAGGTTGAGGTGGGACATCAGGTTCGAGTACCCGGTACCGGTTTGCTGCTTGCGGTAAGAACCGCAAAGCTGACAGCGGAAGTCGCCTTGGCCCTTGTCTTCGTAGAAGAATGCGCAGATATCACGGTTCGGAGCCATCGTGGTCAAATGAAAAGTGAGGAAGTGCTGTGAGGCTTCGGCTCGTGCTCGTGTCTGTGCCTGCCAGCCAACCACTTGAACGATTGGCGCGAAGAGCTAGTTGCCTCTAACATATTGGTATAAACCGGTATTGTACTGATATTATTGGATCAATATCATATTATATTGACTTTGGACAGATCCAATAATAATAATTGTAGCCGGATAATACAGTAATTACGGGATTGATATTATTTTTTCCCACCCCTGGGCTACACGGCCTCTAGAATTATGTGGCCCCCACACACTTCTCTCGCGCTACATCTACTACCCAGCAAAGCAAACACAGCATCTTCCGCCTACACGGCCTCTAGGGTATGCGGCCCCCATACACTTCTCGCGCGCTACATCTACTACCCAGCAAAGCAAACACAGGATCATCCGTGGCCTACACGGCCTCTAGGATTATGCGGCCCCCACACACTTCTCGTGCGCTACATCTACTACCCAGCAAAGCAGACACAGGATCTGAACAATCTGAGCAGGGTACACTCGCAGATGTCAACAGATGCAAACTTGCACAGTGTGACATCACGTACAAACCCACGGGGAAGATCGACGGTACGCAGGTCATGTTCATAAGTGTTATCTAAGCTATATGCTCTGTCAGCTAACGATTATGATGCAGCTTTTACGAAAATGTTTATGTGGCTTCGTTGCGCCCGGGTCTCAAGCTGAGAAGACCACAACTCCAGATTTTGCGAAAGCACAACGTGGTCTTAAGCGACAAAGGCTGTCGTATACCGCCAGGGAGTCACAGAGGAGGCGACCTACCGACCTGAAGGTATTTAAAGGCTGCGCGTTTTGCTCAGTGCTAGGCTCGCGTCGAACGGACATTTTGCAAGGTCACCGACATCTGTGTCGCGCACTCGACACTTGTGTCAAGAACAGACTGCCCTGAAGTCTACGTACTTCACGTTGATCCTTTTACACAAGTCACGGACGCTCGAAAAGCTTTTAGTCGAACGAAGATAGCCAGATTTGTTGGCAGTGCCTGGCTACTATGCACGATAGTGAACAAAAGCTACGGACTCCGCTGCGTAGCCATATCTAAAACCTCAGCAGCTCTACAATCTCTTTCTCGCCGAAATGCTTGACGTGAAGAAGACTCTTACCTTTTAGTGCCCCAGCTTAATTTTATCCACTCAAATCACGTGTTCGATAAACTCAGCTGCATAGACCAGTGATCTCCCACGAACCGCACCTGGATTGTAAAGGGATGTTCTTTTCAGTCTAGATTTTGCCGTCTCCTGTAGATATGGCTGATTGTCCAGTATGTTGCTCGAATTTGTTTTTTTTAAATGCTCTTGCAACTGACTGTGTATGATGTACTCAAATAGCTACCAACCCCAGAGGAGACGCTGGGCTGGAATGGAGGTTGTGGCGTGGATATCAACATGGTGCGTGAGCTGTAAGCTCGTTATGTGAAGCTCTTGGTAATTGATGTATGTTCAACCCAGGCTCTGGAGTACTTCGCTGCCGGCACCCATCAGCCTATCGAATTCGACAACCTATACCCTGTCTCCTATTCGCTTGACCCCCAAGTACGCTATGTGGCTTTGTTATCCAATGATAAAATCTCCGCTGACGAAAGCGGTTTTTGCTCTTAGGAACGCGAGCGCAGTTTTGGCTCATACGCCGGAATTGATGATTTCATTGGGGCCCTCCCTGTGAAACAGATGTACAAAGTTTATGCAGAGCTTTATGCAGGCAAGCAAGATCACCTTCACGAGTACATTATGATGCTGCGATGGCTGAGATCCTCCATGGAAATTTCGGAGGTATGACTCTGCTTATGCGTGTTTTTGTTAGCTGCTATCAGCGTCTTACTTGTTATCTACACTAGATCACAGTCAAACACCTTCATGATCGTCTAAGTTTCTTGAAGGTCTACCTTGAGTATACCCGGACGAAGCTCGAAGAACACTACAAGTGCTACAAGAAAATGAAAGCGGACGAAGCTGTTGATGACGAGGTTATTTATCTCCACAAGAAGGACGGGTTCCACAAGAAACGCGGCTACAGTATTTTTGTATATCTAAGTATGGTCATGACCGTCGTCAACGTATTGGCGAAGCAAATTGACAAGTATGAATGGCAGCAGTGCTAATGCACCAAGTGCGCGTACTATCGGTCGCCGAGTGGCGCCAAACAAGACCTGATGACATTACGCCTGCCATGCTACCTCCAATGAGATTTTATCGCCGCGGAAGCAAAGGAGTGAGCCCCTCTAAAGCGATTTACCGCAAACAGCGTGGACAGAAGTTATAAGAATACTTCCGTTTCCAAACGAAAACGAAGCTCTCAAGTTTCAAGTGAAAACATTTTGTTGTGTGAGGATGCTATCAGTTATGTTATTGTAGCACCATGCGTATCCGCAGGACTGTTAACGGAATGGACTTGTACAAAAAGCAAGGGGCTATCTTCGAGTGACTCCGGTGTAACAAATTCGCGACAAGCCTTTTGTAGGTACGAGGGTAGTCGAGGGGGGGGGGGGGTGATTCAATAGCTCATCAGCTGTATCCGAATACGAAATTGACGCACTTCAGAGCCTTCAACCGTGGTTTTGGAGACAGCGGTGGCAGCACGTGCTCAGAACCTTCAAGACTTCTTACGAGTTGCGGATGTGATAAAGGCGTTCGAGCTCATTGTGTAGCTAAGCTTTAAACATCCTTTCGGTGGAATTGGGTATTCAATGATCTGCTCTTTTGCGTCGATAACGGTGTACGTGCGTCCATTAGCAACTGTCTAGTCGTGTGTGTGCGTGTGAATGCGAATTCTGACGGTCTTTTATCGCTCGAAAGTGGACACATTTACGTGTACTAAGCGTCTAGCCCATAAGTAGCTTCTCAGTGGCTTACCCTTGCGGGCGTACCACAGTCCCCTCGTTCAGCAGCTCCGCGATGGCCAGATAACGTACGACGTACGTTTGGGCTTTCTAAGGATCGGTATTGAGCGAGCGTATTAATAGTATGGACCTTCTTCCACAGCCAGAATGGCAGATATAATGAGGAGAGCATCACCTCAGCGTGCGACAGACACCCAGTATCTTGGTTCTGTACGCGATAGACGTGTAGAAGATCTCCGCTTGCTTGGATCACGAACGACGCGGGATAGTGTACACGTTCAGCAGGATCTTCAGTAGCTCGATCCGGTCAAGCCTACTGTCCGTCAATACCATCTGGATCTTCTTCATGGTAGCGCCAGACGAAAATACTCTCGAACGATTTCTTCTGTGCGTCCCAGTGGTGCAGATGTGTTCGATGTAGCAGCGCCTTCATTGATGGTGAATACTACACCACACGATCCCCGTTAATCAGTGACTAGGCGAGAATTGGGTCGAGTTGGGCTGTGTCGATAACGGGGGGGGGGTGCAGGTTTGCTCACGGGCAGCGTCGATGGATAGAAGCGCCGGTCGGCATATTTTAAAATGACCGCTTGATAACCACGCTGGCCGGAAAATTGCCGCCACACGCCAGCAAACACTTCACATGTTGAAGCAACAGCTCAACCAATCATAGCTCGTTTGAACACGGCTCCACCAATCGCAAAACAACCTTTTAGATACCAATATCTTATTGGTGGAATGGTCACCCCGAGGGAAAATGCAACCCCGAACCCTGAACGATTTGGCAGCTTCAACGTCGCGCCAAATTTGAATTCATCCTGGTAATTTCTACGTTATTTTTATAATTTTTACTGATATATTGCTCTCTCGTATATATTATAATTCCTTTCCTTAAAAAGTGCATATTTCAATTCACGTAGACCTTCGCCGATAGCAAGCAGCAGTTCTTAAAAGTTGAGTTGAATATGTAGGACTCTCCTGAAATGGATTTTACTCGAAGACTCTCTGCATGCAAGTACGTGAAAATTTCAATGCTTCAATATACTCTACCACTGAGTATGAATCCAGTCGTCCAAATCGCTTAAGTACGTATCGATTGATAGACAAGTGATCTCCACAATCCCACAACCATCGAATCCTGTCAATGAGAACGTGCAACTGGAAGTACTAAAACCTGAAATATAGCCTTTTATAAAGTTATGACCTACATTTAATCTTATACTGTAATGTTATTATAGTTTCACTGATACTGAGAATATTTACTACTATTATTACTCATAGTATTCAGTGTTTCTTTAGTTTCACTTGATACTCAGAGTATCAAGTGAAACTATAATAACAGTTTAAAAGTATACATATAGATATAAGTTGAGCTCCGGCTGGGTGGGGTGCGCCGGCCACGCCGACCGCTCGTGCTACGACCTGTCGGTTAACGCCAAGAAGAGTAAGGTC